CCGCGCGCTCCGCCGCGCCTGCGCGGTGCCCCCACGCCACTACCCTCGGCGCGCCCGCGCCAGCCCCTTGCCCTCGGCGCGCAGGCGCAGAGACACGCGCTCCGTAGCTGCCCAACGCGCACGCGCAACCTGGAGCGCCTCATCCCGCCACTTCCCGCGTGGCCACGCCCCTCGCACGTGGGGTCTCCTCAGAGGCCGGGAATTGAAGAGTTTCCTCGGGGCGCTGGGGAGCGTTGCTGCCCCAGCCCGGCCCATGCAGGGGCCGTTCCCGGCCCTCCCTCAGCGAGGGGCTGCGGACAGCTGAGGGAGCACCGCAGGCCCCACGCTGAGGGCTTTAGCCACGCTAGGCAGCTGTGCGGAAAGGCCCCGTTCACAAAGTTCCTGAAGGGACATGGGTCCGTGGGTGCAGCCACCACCCTCGCTTTACCCACCCCCCTCCCACTGGCCTGAGGATGAGGCAGGATGACTGACAAGATGCAGGTGGCTGTAGCCTCCATTTAGAACCAACCTCCCTGCTATAGCCCCTGCATGATGAGCATACACTGGGCTCGCCGTTACCCAAAAGGCCACAGTAACAAGTCAACATGGGCCCCAAAGGCACTTGTTTTAATAGGTTTTAAGTATGGTCACATTTTGGAACTGAACACTTAGGCTTAGATTTAATAAAAAAAATGAGCTGGTCCGGTAACTAGTTCTGACCGATTAAATCTTTTGATTTTCTTTAAAACAGAATTGGAAAAAAGTGAGTTAAAACATCTAAAGTTTCTTGTCAAAACAAATAGCAGCCAGGCATAGGAGATGCTTGAAGCCTCTGCTTCAGCTCTGAACTCTACTACCAGGCTTTATAGGGACCGCTACTATTCAGCCATGCACACAACTAACTTATCTCAAGTCCTGGCTTCTTGTTGAGGAGAGAAAGAAAAAGGCTCTAGCCTACAGCCAGCTTATAAGGCAGCTGTTTTCAGATGTAGACAACCTTCTGAGGAAGATGAACTTGTTCTGTTTATAATCCTGTATCAGGAATTGATCACTGCTACATGGCTATGTCAATCTAGTTCATGAATTCCATGTGCCAGCTCCTCCACCCAGAGCTAGTACTTTCTCATAGCCCTTAAGTTGACGCACCAGAGAAGACTTTTCACTTCACGCTTGGAGTCACTGTATATTACACACACTCAGCATTCAGTCAGTCTGTTTCAGTTACATGTAAACATCTGTTTATGGGACAGAACTCCATCAGAAACCAGCCTCGAGCTGCAGGCAGTGGCCCACAAAGACCCAGAGAATGGTTTGATTAATTGGTTAAACATAATAGGGCAACAGCATTAATTACTTTGTATAAATAACTGGCATAAATATATAAAATAAACCCAGGCAGCTACTGTAAACTGTTCAAACCATCATGGGACTGAATTACTATCACGTACTGTATCTATTCTTCCCCCACAACAGATGGTGAGGAATCCACATTTATCAACAGCAGAGAACGAAGATAGCTGTGTTTTGAGAGGGTGAGGAAAGGAAGAAATCTTATTTGTCCAACTTTTTAATTCCATGATAAAGGAACAAAGCAGCTAGAGAGAAAGTTTAGAGGAAGAAAGGATTTGTTTTTAAAATCCTTTTTTAAAAGATCTGGCTCAGCATCTGCATCCTTGAGCTACTTTCCTGTCATCTGCACCAATTCAACATTAAACAGTTTATTTTAATGCCAACATTTAAAGAATTAATAGGGCTCCCTATGCAGAGATGCCATTTTATCACAAAAAATTGCAGTTCCGTTTTGTGGAAGTCACCCAGACCAAACTTATAGCAGTTAAGTATATGTAATAAGGTAAAGGACAAGCATATTCCCTGTGTCTGTTTGCAGGGTGAGGAGCACTGGGCAGTATGAAATCAGAATATAGGACAAATCAGCAGAAAATAAGCTGACATTTTCACTTGGTTTTCAAAAATGTAAAGCTTTGTGATAAACAGCTAGGAAGTACAAATTACATTGAATGAGAAGCTATTTCTGAGTTCAGACCAACCAACAAAGAATATGGCTAGGTGCTATCAAAACCATACACCATGCATAGGGCAGTGCACTCGAAGGAAAGACGGCAAAAGGGAACTGAACAGCAGCCAGAGCAATCTTTCCAGCTCCTGAGGCAGCCCTGTGAACCCGCTGTGTACGCCAGTATTTGCACAGCCCATTCCCTGGACCCAGCATGACCAACAGCCCTGTCTCATGATTACATTCAGTCCTTAAATGCGGAATTGGTTTTAACCAAACAAAAAACTTTTCCTAAAGAATGGCTCAGCAGGCCAAGCAGCAAAAATATGGAGTCTGAAGCTTCACAAAGAGAAAAAGCTCCCCTTTAAAATTCCCCATCAGTGGGGATGAGGTGATTAGCGTATCCAGCATCAAGTTCTCCAGCTGCAGCCATTTCCAGTTGCCTCCACAACACTCCAGTGAAACCAGGCATAGGAAGTTGATGGATTGTACTCTTTTTGTTTCCATTTTCTCCCCGTATTTGAGCTTTCCATGGACTGAGCTGCATCTCAGTAAGTACATCTGACACACAATTTGGACAAGGCGGCAGCATTTGTATGCAAAATTCCTTTGTGTCCCAGTGATGACTACATCCCTCTTCATCAGTGTTTCAGCACCCGTGTTTTCACTTCCTTTGAAGAAATTTCATTTTACTTCCTACAGAGAAAAGGACAAGACAAATTAGAATCTGAAAAGGCCCCAGAATCAGAAATTAATTAAACAGAATGTCTTAAGTTTCAAAGCCATGTAAACCATCTTGGCCAACAGAATCACAGTCTGAGATGGAAATGACTTAAGGCTCTTCAGTTAATTCTCAGCCAATGCAGGATTGTTCCCAAATGCTTCATCTGGCTCTGTTTTATGTCTTCAGGTATGGGGCTAACACCATTCATTTTAGCCAAAGATTTCTCAACATGCATGTTGAGAAGTACCAAGTGGCACTGGCAGGGGATAGATTTGTAAAGAAATTAATTACAGCTCATTTTGAGTATTCTGGGGAATTAGCAGCACCCGAGAAAAGTAAAAGACTATGCAAGGTAGAAAATGTGCTCCCCTTTTGGCCACATTCTACCTGCTCAGTGGATACCTTTATATGCAGTCTCAACTGACCTGGCCAACAACAAAACCAAACATTTACCCAGACTGCGAAGAATTTTGTTCATCCCGCTTGGTTCAGTCTCCGGAATGGTCTCTAAATACTCCAAGGCACGGACCTCAAACAGGCCTAGGGAAGAAAAACATCATTTAGCCACTTGAGATGCAATGTGCAAAGAAATGGAACAAGCCACACCACTGATAACAAAAAGCATAATCTATTCGAGCCCCATCTTGCAGGCACAAACTTTTGCAGGTCTCACCTTTGACCCCACTCTTACGGAGTTCCCGATCCTGTATGAATCCTGCAAACATCTGTGTTTCCATGAACAGGTCCAGGAAATGACGCACATTGCGGGAGGTGTGGGACTTTCGAAATGGCTCTCGCTGGAACACCCGCTCTCCTTTCTCTGTGACATTCATGTGCAAGGAGTAATGTCCTACAATCTCCACAAAGAACTGTACAAAGGCCTCAGAGACCAGGGAGTTCAGAGTTACATCACCTACCAAGAGGACACAAAAGTCATTATTTCACACAGCAGCAGTCTCCTGGGAGAATATCTCCTTCACTCCTCCTAAAAGCCCAGCCGAGTAACAGCCATCCTTCTGTCTGAATAGGGCTAGATGGGTCACCACCATTGTGATGGGGGTAACATATAGGAATTGCACCAGACACACAAATTGGTATCAGAACTTAATTTGAGTGATTGCTTAGTACAGACCTGCTGATAAACTTGCCTGGAATGATTCACTGCTTTGCAAAACACTTTTGAGATAAGCAAGTTTAAAAGCTACTGTATAAAACTCTGATTCTGCACATAACGGTGTCAGACTACACTCTGAAGTACAGAAACTCTCTCATCTCTGTTTAATGAAGAGACCCTATTGATGTGCCTTGAGTATAAGGATTACACAAACTCAAAAAGAAGAACAGGAGTACTTGTGGCACCTTAGAGACTAACAAATTTATTAGAGCATAAGCTTTCGTGGACTGTAGTCCACGAAAGCTTATGCTC